GTTGAAATTTTCACACAACGTTCCATTGACATCCGAGCAGGTTTTTATATACATACAATATAGATGTCAGGTCTGTGATGGGAAAAAACATGCTTTTTCTGGAAACTTTTTTTTCATGTGAGGGAGATCTTCAAAACCTCTTTACCGATTGCTTTGAAATTTTGACACATTGAATTCAAATAGGCGCGTGTTTTTAAATGTCAACTATATACATGCTTCACCTGTGACAGGAAAAGAACATGCTTTTCTGTGGGAAGCCCCTATGGCTCCCTGGAGCTTATTGGGCTAATGTATGTTATATTAGACCTGGACATTAGCTATGGAGTTCAGATCTACCAGGGACCAGCGCCAGAACCTGGCCTCTTCAGAGAGGTTTCATGGAGCAGTGGCCCTGGAAAACCCCTTTGTGGCACCCAGAAAGGTAGGCATAACAAAACCCCACATGGTAAGAAACTAAAACAAAAAATCAAACAGAGGTAGAAACTTCCTACAATCCCAAGGAAACAAGAAAACGTCACACTTTACTGCCGCGCTGCTTGTCCGCGCAACCCTCCATCCCCAATAGGGGGAAGGAGGGTGGGCCGGCTGCCTAGCACCAGTTCCGAAGCTCAGCTTCAACCAACGCGAAAAAAAAACGCCGACTGGTGGGAGAGGGGGTTGCAAGGGAGCCTCTGGGTCTCCCTGGCAACTGGTTTTCTGTGGGGAGCCCCTACGGCTCCCTGGAGCTACATATCCAAAGAGATGGAATATAAGGACTTACCCGGGAGGTGGCCGCCACAAACTCCTCAATGCGAAGTCGAGACAACTGGCTGCAACCTATGACCCATAGCAACACAAGAACGCCCAGGAACAGGCACGTTCACCAAATAACGGGCGGCCAGGGCCCTGTTCGATCTCCAAAATCCATGAGCCCTAATATGAGCCCAGGACATGCTACCGAACACGGCAACCAGAGCTGCAAATTTCCGAACATCATGGACGCGAGGATAGACCGCAGGCTGGCTAGACTTAATAACCCTGTGGATGACCTGGGAGACCCGAGGTCTGGTACAGGGAACGAGGGAAACCGGATCAACCCAAAGTGCATCCCAGCTACCCCAGCCGAGGCGTGCAGGTAACGGCGAAGAGCCGCAACCGAACACAACACATGATGCACCCCCGGCTGAACCAACCAGGTATCAATGACCCCAAGGACCAATCCGGAAAGCAGCCATCTCGTTCTTCGCCAGAAAAGACAGAGAAGGCTGCAAACGTACAAACCTACTCCCAGGACAAAAAGAACCCGAAGCAACAGCTGGACCGGGGAAAAGAGGTACAGGTAACCCCCATCTCGACCATTTCTGCCGAAAAGCATCCACCGTGAGCGCCCCACAGTCGGGGAAGGGGGTCACATAGACTGGGAGATGCCGAGACCACGCCGACGTGAAGAGGTCCACGTCCGGGCGTCTGTACGTCTGGCGGATCAACAAAACAAGTCGTCGTCGACCATCCATTCCGTGGACAGGGGAATGAAGTGAGACAGGCCATCCGCCAGGACGTTGGACACTCCTCGGGTATGAACTGCATAGAGAGCCAAACCCCGAGAATCCAGCAGGCGAACCACTCGAAGGGACCAACCCCAAAGAGGCAAGGACCGAAGAGAACCCCTGTGGTTCAGGCAATGAACCACTGGAGAAGAGTCCGAATGAAGCCGGATGGTCAATCCCCGAGCGACCTGAACCCTCCGAAGCGCAAACCAGACTGCCGCGAACTCCCGAACCGTGCTGTGAGCCTGATGGAAGGACGGACCACACCATCTCTGGCCAGCCTGGTGAGCACTGGTCACAAAGCGCCAGCTGAGAGATGACGCGTCTGTGAACACATCGAGCGAAGGCTTGGGAAGGCGCCAAGGCACCGAACCTCGAAAACCCCGAAGAGGCACCCGGCTCCAACAGAAGCCGTACTTGAGACAGTAGTCATCTGAAAGGAGGGGCAAGGAATCCAGGGATTCCGATGGGACAAGTCCAAAATGAACCTCGGATATGCACAGTCCTGTTTCGGCACTGGAAACCCACCTGAGGGACGGGGTCGTTTTGACCATGTCCAAGCGCACCCACTCAAAATGACTTTTACGAAGTGTAGGAGAAACAGTCTGCCCTGTTAGCCTTCCCTCCCCCCCCCCCCCCCCTCCTGAAAGGAGGACGAGCCGCCCAACGATATCGCAGGCCCGATGACATGACCAATAAGGCCCACAAATCGTGGGAACAAGCATGGGCAAACAGAGCGAGCCTTTCCCCCCCCCCCTCCATCTGCCCGTCAATCGGGCAAACCACGAAAGGGCTGACGCCCCTTACGAGACACCAAATGTTGAAATGTTGGCGATCATCGCGCCAACCAGACGACACCAGCACTGAAGGCAACATCAGCTCAGAAACTGGCACCAATGGCTCACATTGACCAGCAGAACTCTGAACCCTGGCATGACCCCTCTGAGACGGTCGAGAACGACCACCCCGGAGAACCAACAAGTCTGACATGGACGACAACTAGACGAGGCCGCTTGCAGAAACGTATGCCGTATACTGTTGCTTCGTATCATGCGGCATTGGTAGAGCCGCAGCAGCTTGCATTTGGGGTGGGTGTCACTTCCACTCCATTCTGCAAATTTTCTCATGCAATTTTCACTGCCGGCCTGCTCGTGTACCACCTGAGCCTTCTTGGTTTTTGAACCAGTTTCTTTCCTTTCTTCTTCCTCAATTTGTGGTGGTCCCTTCAGTTCGTGTTTGTTTTTGCTGAACATTGTTTTATTGGCCTTGGCCTCTGGTGGTTTTGTTCATTGGCAGCCTACTGCTCCTTTTCCTTCAAAGAATGAGACGGCAGGCTTCCAGAGGGATCCGTTAGTTGTGGATGCTTCTTTGGTTAGGCCGGGGGGTGTATCACGTGCTGTGTCCAGTGGTGGCTTTATGCTGCTTTTTGCAGGCCACTGGTTCTGTGTTGGTGGCCGTGCGTTGGGTTGATCACGTTTCCCTTGTTCTCGGTTCCAGGTGTTATGATCCCAGGTAGCCGAAAAACGAGTCTCCCCATTTGAGAATTATTGTATCAGGCCTGACCTGACTAGGAAGTCAAAGAAATATAGACATGAAGATTTATATGTAAAATAATTGGGTAAATTCGACAGACAGTATAAGAATATGGGCAGTGAATCAGGATATAGATAAATGACTTGACACAAGATAAGAAAAGTTTGCTGGAGGTGTGAGGCTCGCTTGAGAGGAGCTTGAGCTCACTTGAGCTGAAGAAATTGTGAGGGAAGGGCGTGCTCCGTTTGAGCCCCCTGTTAGCGAGGAACCCGTTTGATATACCTTCAAGAGGAAGGAAGTGGACAGACGTCTCGACTGAGGAATAAGTTAGGAGGCGTGTCAGCTCATATCAGGAACTGCAGAAGGTGTTGAGGGGGCAGTTAAAGCAGTTCTGTGGGTAGCCTGAAGCACCCCGAGTGTCGCCGTCCCGTCAGAGAGCGCCCTGCAGGAGACCTTTTTGTCTGGGGAAGGAGTTGCTGAGAACTTCAAAGCCAGCAGAGAGGGAGTAGATGATGAGACTCCAAGGTTGTGGAAGGTACTGAGCTCTGTGGGAGAGCAGCCATACAGTGAGGAAGAGAACCTCAAGTTGTGAGAAGAGGAGTAATGGAATGAAGTCTCACATGCTTCTGTAATACCAGTGGTGAAGCACCATTGTTGCTCAAGGAAGACGTCATGGTGTAGCAGCCGGGAGAGCTGTGGAGGACCCTGGTAGACGATTCTAGGAAACCTGAGGATGTCAGGGTACTGAACTCCCAGATGTGGACGGGAAGTTCTAATTGATTACTTGTAGGGAGTTGGTAGTGTGTTTGGTTGTCATTAGCGTGCAAGATGCAGTGAAAGGTGGATGACTGATTACCATTTTTGTGCCAAGAAGAACTTATACTGAAGTATAGAGTTACAACCGTAGGCTGGATTACCTGCAGATACATACATGTGTGTTCTAGGACTGATAGGGTGATTGATTGATCATTGTTGTATATCAAGGAATATTTATACTGATATTTATGTTATTGCAGTCATAGGCTGGTTTTCCTTATATGTGTTTATAGATATATATTCTCTTGCTTATAGTGCAATATTGTCTTATGAGACTTGACCTACATGGTGAGGTTGATGGTATAAGTGATGAGATAGCAGTTAGGATACCACT